GTACTATTATTTAATACCAAGTTTTGGTAATTTAACCTTTAAATTGCAGCTTAATGTTGCTGTGTCATTGTGATCTGTTCTAAATATCTGAATGGCACTGAGTGCACACTGTAGTCTGATTGCAGCTCAAATAAAGCAGCTACAGTTTCACTTTGAGGCATGCTTTTGGCTGTTTTTTCCTTTCTGAGAAAAGCAAAGTCTATGCTTTAATAGTATGAGACTTTGGATAAAGCCATCTTAAACAAATGTATCCATGCAAATAAGGTATTTCCAAAGAAGTTTAGGAGGAGAGATGGTATCGGTATCGGTATCGGCAGATACTCAAAGTTGAAATATCGGTATCGGTCCATCCCTAGTTATCACAAGTAGTTTTTTAGATTCTACAGCACCATTGTTCACAATCTTGGCTTGTGTGATTAATGTGCACAGATAATCACAGGTCACCTTTTATTCCTTTAAGGCCTTTGTTTCCAGGAAATCCTGGGGGTCCAGGATCACCAGGCTCCCCTGGGTAACCAGGCTCACATTCGTAGTCTATGGGGTCAACCAGGCAGAAATGTTAACCAACATAAGCTAAAAATGTCTGCAAGTGATAATTAATTAAAGACATATGTATGTGTTTTCATATATATGTGAAAAACTGAGTACAATTTTTTGAGATTGAAAATAATCCAAAAATTACCTCCACATCCTGATCAGATCCCATTATGGAATGATGGAGCCACACCATGTCCACACACAGACACACAAATCAGAATGTAAGTCTTCCTTCAAGTGAACATGTGTGAAAACTCCCAACATTATTCAAACAATTAGATTTGTAAGTCTTTAGTTGTGTGTGATATGCAGTGACAACAACCATACCTGGAGGACCTGCGGGGCCTATGACACCTTTGATTCCTGGGGGGCCTTTACGTCCCTTTGGCCCTGGAAATGGATCGATTTCAAAATTGGTGAACCTTCCTGGCTCTCCCTTGTAGCCCTTAGGACCAGTGGGGCCTGGTGGACCGGGCCTTCCTCCCCCATCTAGGAGAATGTAGGAGGTAATGTCAAGTAATGTAGGATCAAGACATAGAGTTTCCAACAATGAAAACACAGAACACTGATGGAGGAGAAAACAAAGGTTTTGGAGCAAGGCCTTGATTTATAGCCCTTATGGTCACAGCACTACATCTCTTGTGAAAGAGCTGAGACAACACTGACCTGTTGACCCTGGTGGACCAGGTGGACCAGGCATGCCCATGTTCCCAGGTTCCCCTGGGATTCCCTGTGGTCCTGGATATCCATGGTCACCTTTAGCACCTGCGAAATATAGACACAGAGCAAGGAAAGAGTCACAAATATGTGGTTATTCCCAAAGGAAATAATGGTTATTTATTATTTTTATGGAGAATTTGAACAATCAATTTACCAGCAAACTAGTCTATCATCAGTTTCACTTCACATGATTTTCTGCAAAAAGTATTGTCATTAGACTTTTTTTTTTTTTTTTTTGAGATAAGACTGATGGAAACATGCAAGAGGACAGTGTGAAAGTGGTTTGTGCTGCAGTAGTGGTTTGAGAAACTGCTTTAGAGCAAACCTGTCATTCATTTTAACTTTTTTTATTCTGTTGTGATTGACACAATTAACACAGACCACAACTTGGAATTAAACATCACATTTCTTTCAGCCCCCCAGTGTGTGAGTGTAAACATCCTACTGGACTGTAAAGCCATATGCATAATTCAGAAAGCAGTTTCATGATTAGATTTCATATTTAAAAAAAATAGAATAGAACAGTGCTACCAGCGCCACACATGGCTCAACCAGTGAACAGAGTGTTGTTGCTGCTGTGGTCTCACCTCTCGCATCACTTCCGTTGTGATAGATGGTGCGACCAGGGAGACCTTGATCTCCTGGATAACCCTGTTGGATGCAAGGACATGGATGTGGAAACCATTGTTAGAAATACAAAATGATCCTGACGTACAAAGGTGAGAAGAGTGACCAAGTATTAAATGTAACAGCTCCACCGAGTAACCACTAGAGGGCAGCAGACAAAGTAGGATCGCTCTTCTTCATTTTCTTCACATACTTACAAAACCTCAAACCATAAGTAGAATAAGCATGTTTGCAAAGATGCCAACAAGCAAGATTTTTTCCCTCTCAGGAGTCATTCTGGTTTTAACTATGATGGAATATTTTCCAGAAATCTATTTGCACCAAACACAAGCTCTCTAATGTATTTATATTACAATGCACATCCATTAGATGTTCAAACAAACCTCACCTTTGGTCCAGATCTTCCAAAGAGACCCGGAAGTCCTTTTTCTCCACGGTAGCCCTGAAAATGTATCAGTGTATTTAACCCAAAAACAGATGTCTAAGTATAGCCACGTAAGCAACAATTTAATAATATAACGTGCTTACCTCAGGTCCAGTTTCTCCATCCCTACCAAGATATCCTGGAAGACCCTAGAGATGGGAATAATGAACTGAAAAACATGGCACGCATGTGTTCGTCTGACGAGACGGTGCTGTCGGATACAATTGACCTACCCGAATTCCAGGAAATCCAGGGATTCCTTGCTCTCCTTTAATTCCTGGAGTATAGTAGTCACCTCCACCCTGACCAGAAGAAAAATCATTTATTTTTCTCTTTCTCTCAGAAACACTTGTAGAATAACAGAAACAAACTCACATCTCTGCCCTTTGGTCCACATGGTCCAGCACGACCTTTGTCTCCCTGAGAAGCAAAAAAAAAGATAGCAATGTGGGAGGAAATAAGTCAGCATAGAGAAGTAGGAAGGATTAAGTATATTTAAATGGCTGCTCTGACATATGCAGAAGACGAGGGCGCTGCTTTCACCTTGTAACCTTTAGGTGGAAGAATTTCTGGAGGCGGTATTATGATTTCCTCTGCTCCTTGTGGACCAGGTGGGCCCTGTTCACCCTGAAATACAAAAGTTGAAGAAGTGAATGTATTGTTGTGTATTATGCATCCATAAGTATGTGCATACCCACCACACATACACATGCACACACACACCCATAGACACAGCATTAAAGCTTAGTGCATCGCTGCCAAAGGTCCACAAAGGTATCTTACATTGTCACCTTTGTCGCCTGCCAGTGATCCTCCAGGGTCACCCTGCACAAGATCCAAAAGTTTAATAAAGACTTGGCTTTTCATGTGAATGTGTTATAGCATGCACTGGTCAACACTGGGAAGCAGGTGACTCACCCGTGGTCCTCTCAGACCTTGAGGTCCTCCATACCCCTAAATGGAATCACATATACACAAGTTAGTGGTTAATGCATAGTCGTATATGGTCTTACAGTTTATTTTATATGAGTACAAATGGTTATTTATTTATTTATTTTACCTCAGACCCAGGAAATCCAGGAAGGCCACTTTGGCCTTTAGGTCCACTGTGTCCACGTCTTCCCTGAGTTTAAAATCAAAACCACTTGTTAAACACAGTGAATTTAAAGCTATGTCATGGTAACTGCAAACAAAAGGAGATCATTTAAAATGTTTAATGCCTGTTTCATTTATTTGCATTGTATCATAAAGAAGCATTGTGGTGTCATAGTGTGACTGAAGCACATACGGGCAGTCCAGGTTCCCCATCTCTCCCACGGTCGCCCTGTGAAGCGAAATACGGAAGACGAGAAATGACGGTAAGATTTTTACAGATGTAAAGTGTTAGAGGTAATTATGGAACCACACAAACAGGATGGGCTTTTGACTTTAATAAAGTCCAACTTGTAACAATCTGAACTTCTCCACTTTAGAAGAACTTACAGGAAGTCCTGGAAGGGTGGTACCATATAGAGGTTCTCCTTTAATTCCTTTAGGTCCAGGGAATCCCTAACAAGAAGACACAGCAAAGGCTCACATCAGACACTTATTGAATACTAAGTAACAGGGGGAAAGAGACCAGGTACTGTATTTGCATTATTTCCACAAAACACTTGTCTGACAGAAAATTCATACATCAAAACATGGTAAAACCCAAACATCTGGACATAAATGCCAATCAAACCTCCCAAACCCAGTCTCCCTTTTTACATTTAAAGACTTTGAACTTCTAAGTGCATGTAGGCTGAGGGCTGTTGGTACATGAAGGTACAAACTTTTCTACACTATTCTGCACCCTTTCTGTGAATCTGCAGACTTCCCAAAAGGACTTGCACACAGCTCTCAGCATAACTGGTGATGTATATATATGGCTGTCTCACTCCTGACAAATTGTGCACAAACCAAAAACGGATGCACTCGATAGAAATCTGCTGTATGCGACAACATCTGGCTGCTTCCTGTTGGAGTTATTTATTGCACATTTGTAGAGTTGTTTATCTTTTCAGTCAAACATCAGCAAAGAATTTACAGAAGTCACAACTTTTGGTCGTTTGATAAAGTGTACAAACAGTGTAACACCACAAGCAGGGAGTAATCAACAGAGCAGCAATTTTTTGTTTTCGATTTTAAATGGTGACATTTTCTAGCAATGATGGGCTGCAGGTGGTTAGCACTGTTGCCTCGCAGCAAGAAGGTCACTGATTCGTGTCCCAGTGAGGGCACTGGGATCTTTCTGCGTGGAGTTTACATGTTCTCCCCGTGCAGCATGGGTTCTCTCCGGGTTCTCCGGCTTCCTCCCACACAGTCCAAAAACATGTTGAGGTTAATTGGTGATTCTAAATTGTCCATAGGTGTGAATGTGAGTGTGCTTGGTTGTCTGTCTCTAAGTGTAGCCCTGTGATAGACTGGTGACCTGTCCAGGGTGTCTCCTGCCTTCACCCTAAGTCGGCTGGGATAGACTCCAGCCCCCCCGCGACCCTAGTGAGGATTAAGTGGTGTATAGATAATGGATGGATGGATGGATTTTCTAGCAATGCCTTCTAGAAATGTCTTCTTTGTTATATCATTTGGAATCCTCACAAACCCACACACTCCATCACGACGTCTGTGATGTCAGTTAAGGTGAGGGTTTAGTGCTCAGGCCTGAAGGAGGGTTTGGGCCAATATTTCTCTGCCTATACAAAGATCTGGGGTTATGCAGGGACATGGATGTGATTATTGTAAGTAACCGATGTTGCCTCGCTTTAGTCGAGCCATCTGACCAATCTGAGCAGCCTGAGCTTTTGAGAGGGGGACCTTAAAGAGACAGGATCTGGAACTGAGTGTTTCAGACAGAAGGTGAGCAGAGATCCTGCAGCAATGTACAGTATGAGAAAAAGAACGTGTGTTTTTTACTTTAAAGCAAGTAAACATTTTTTTCAGTCCCAAAAAATTAAATGCTGGAAGAACATCTGAAAGTCTGTCTCTAAGTGTGGCCCTGCGATGGACTGACGACCTGTCCAGGGTGTCCCCTGCCTTCGCCCTAAGTCGGCTGGGATAGACTCCAGGCCCCCCGTGACTCTAGTGAGGATTAAGCGGTGTATAGATGATGGATGGAAGAACATCTGAAAGTCTCACCATTGACTGAAGAACTAAAACATCAGAACAGGTGTTTGACTCACCGGCGGCCCATGGATACCATCCAAACCGGGAAAACCAGGGACTCCTGGAAGACCCCTTGTCCCATTACAGCCATCCACTCCTACTGCACCAGGCTCCCCACCTGCCCCTGGGTGACCCTAAACATTAAACATTAGTCTTGGTTAACAGTGTAGAGAAGGTAACAGCTGTTGTCTTGCTAACTTTAACTTTAAAAAAACAAAGGAATTCATAGCTTCAGCTCAACATTTCATAATTATATATATCAGTGGAAATGGCCAGCTTTTGTTAATTCACATAAAACAGTTGACTAGTAAATCAATGAGCTGAGCCAGGCTGATGTTCACAGTGCGCCTCAAAAGTGTCCACTAGAGGGCGCAGCGGCTGCACGTTTCAAACCAGTGCACCATTTCAGATGCAGGCAGTTGCACACCTGGGAACACTACATGGCACATTCACAAACAGAAGAGTGTCTGCAATCAAAGCTATAATCCAAACTCCTCTTGAAAGAAAAAATAAGTGAGAAGCATCTCAGATCCACATGAAGGAGTTCAAAGTTTGGGCAATTGGGGCAATTCCTCCAGAGTGTTATTCAGCTTTAATTATGACTGCCACGGTGAGCTGTCTTTTTCTCATTTGCAAGTGAATATACAACAACAGTAGTTTACTTACAGGCAAACCGCTGTCACCGGGAAAACCAGGAGCACCAGTCGAGCCCTGAAATGAAAAAAAGTGGGCACGTGTTATTAATTGCAAGGTTAGATTGTGCTATCCACTGTCACTCTCTTTATCGCTTTCATTGGCAAATGATCATTTAAATATGTTTATTATTGCACAGTAACATTTCTTGATAATGATGAACTGTATATGTGCGTGTAGCTGCTGCCTTGATTTCCTGGAATGTTTCTGACACAACATGCTCGTGAACATGAACACTAACGCGGTCTCCTTTGGGCCCCTCTGGGCCATATGATCCTGCCATTCCCATCCTGCCTTTATCTCCAGGTCGTCCTGCACGTCCCCACGGTCCCATAGATCCTCGTGGACCTCGCTCCCCTGCCCTACCTGGAGCTCCCTACAAAGCAAAAAAATACCGTTAAAAATATTGACATCTTTCCCAAACACCAGTAACGTTATGATGGCTTTCACTGAGCATAAAAATAATGTCAGCAGTCAAAATGTACAGCACTTTTTTTTATTGTGGATTTCTTGCTTATCGCTCCTGGTGAACCATCTGAACTCCAAAACTCTCCAGCAGGATTGAAAGGACATGTTTTCTTTTCTTTTTTTTTTTTAATGCCAAGATTACATCATATATCAGAGCTAGAAATGGTAAAAAGAATTGTTGGATTTTCAACTTTCCAAATGTCCTTGAAGTGCCTGAAGTAACATGTGACGCATTAGCAAAACCTAACCAGCCTAAAATTGTGATATTTTATCAAAACGCTTTTTTTCTGTGTATCTCATTCAAAAAAAAAAAGCCAAAGATGAACTGTTGTCACAAGTTAGAGTCTGTAAATGTGAAAAATGCACCTCATTGCACTCTTGAAGCGACTCAGCTGTGACTGATGTTCATGTGACAAACATTTTGGGACTTTCTGGCTGAACTGGGCTGAACTGCAGGCAGTGTTCACACAGAGCAGATAGGAAACGAGTACGGGAACATGTGAGGGCCCTTGGAAAAATGTTTGTTCCAGGGTTTCTCCAATTTTTGTAAAATAAACAATCCAAAATCTTTTTATTGATTTATGACATTTTAATGTTGTCATACTGCACAAAGCACTATTTCAGTTCTCTCCACTTCTGGACATAGTTGTGCTGATTTGTATTAGAGGTGCATTACAATAAAAAAAACATATACCCACAGTAAATAAAAATGCAACAGGAGCAAACTTATTGGGGTTCAGACACAAAACAGATGAACAAGATAAAAACCGTCTGTATGATATTTTGGTACTCAAAGAAAAATGAGGTCAAAATGTGAGAGGATCAGACGTTACTATTTGGAGAGCAGTTCATGAGATGAAGAAGTTCATACCCGAGCACCTTTGGCAGGAAGACACTGACACACAGAGCAGTCTCTACCGTCACACGGGCCGTCGATGCCTCCCTGGAATCACAAGCACAGAGCAGATGACGGCGAGGACCCGGCATCAGCAGCTGGATCATACGAGGCTGCATTTTGGGTTTATTTGCCATTCCTGAATATTTAACAGCTTTGAGAATCAGTCTTGAGAACCAACAGATTTCCCCTGTGGAGACTTGATAGTCCTGATTAGAAAGCTTCAAACAAATCACAGTTCCCATATAGACTTGGGTAAATAATGAGCGCTCTGACCTTGATGAGAATTATTTCTGTAATGTATTGACATTGTGCTGAAAAGCCAACTCTGCGAGTCCACACCTCCGGATGCAAAGTGTTCCCATCGATGTGTGTGTGTGTGTGTGTGTGTGTGCATGTGTGTGTGTGTGTGTGTGTGTGTTTCGGTTCTGGAAGTTTCTCTCTGCAGAGATATCTGTGTCGTAAACATTTAGTCGTGTTTTCTCAAAGCCTACTAAATATTTAGAGGACTCTGTGCTGGTGCTATTGACCTTAGCTGCACATGTGTTGATAAACCTGTCCTACTGTGTGCTTCGGTCCAAACCTTCGTGGGAATCTTTCCATCAGTCAGGACAAAGCAACAAACAGTTTGTTCAGTCTTCAGTGGCCTGCTGAGCTTCGGTGCATTGGCCAAATTGGAAAATTACAGCGAGGAGGGAAAACACCAGTAGGTCTCCATTGCTACACATCAAACTGGCCAAACAATTAGAAAAAAAAGAAATGAAAGCTCGAGGACAGCAGCAACCCCTTGAGTCTATAATAATATTGTAATGTCTTTCTTCAATTTAGGTCCAGCTGTATGCCTGTCAGACTAATTTAAATAATAAATGTCTGTATTAACATATAATTATTTGTATATCATTAATATAATATATATATATGTGTGTGTGTGTGTGTGTGTGTGTGTGTGTGTGTGTGTGTGTGTGTGTGCGCGCTTAACAAATTTTTTAGACTACCTGTCTAATTTGTTAAATGCTGTTAAACACTTTTTTATATCCAAATTAGAGGCCGCTCCCTGGGCTTCCCTGAGAAGTCAGACATTAATCAAGTGTAACATTCAACCACTGAAATGAATTTTTCTGTTAAGAATGCAAGTAAATAATAATGATTTGGCATCTTACACAAGAAATAATAATGTGCTGTACTATTTTTTTTTCTATTTACATTTAAAAATTCATGGATACCAAAAAATAATCACAGTTTGGAATTAAAAATATCATTTCTGCTTCTACATACTGGTGTATTAACCATTACAGAAACTTGAAAACAAAAGGATTTGGGTAGTTACCAATGCTGTTAATTTAGGGTATAAACCTTACACTGGGTGGGTGGTGGTTTCATAAATTTGTTAAGCACTGTATGTATAGTAAAATATATAAAATATAAATATTTGTATATGTTGTGTCAGCCAGCTGCCCTGCTGTGCTTGGTTACAGTTGCTAGGCTGTGATTGGTCAATCAGTCTGGCCTTTATAGGACCGTATAAGGAAGTGTAGTTTAAACTCCATCAAACATTACAGTACATTATTTTAATAGCATAATTACCTGTCTGCGTACTATACGTCATCCAGCGGAACAAAGTGGGATTTATTTGGTTTGTATGCACGTCGTGCAGTTGCACATTTGCAATAACATCACAAACGTGGTTTAGCATGCTAGCTCTGTTATGCTATCTCTGTTACGCTATCTCTGCTATGCTAGCTCTGCTATGCTAGCTCTGCGATGCTAGCTCTGCTATGCTAGCTCCAGATGTGTTTATTTCCTGCTAATGTGTCCTGCTAATTTTATTCAGAATATTTCTAGAATTTAGCAACACATTTCAACACAAATACCAATTACTATACTTTTTTTTAAAGTTTGCTAGTAGCCCTTCTTCTTCTTCTTTTTTTTTTTTTTGGCTAACATAGAAATTTACAATACTGTGTTGAATAAGCCAAATTATACTAACTAGCATTACAAATATCTAAATAAATGAAAATGTTGTTGATACACTAGATAAAGGAATGTAATTACAGACAATGTCCAAGTTGAAGCTGCTGCTGTAAACAAGTGGAAAAGATATAAAATCAGATTGTGTTGTAGTTTTCTCCAGCTCCTGCAGTCTAATATAACTGATGCATACTGTTTACTTAACCTTGCATTATGCGGTTTATGTCACGGTTTTGGCATTTCTGAATGATAATGTTACAGCTATGCACCGAGCCGACTCGACCGTAAGACCACCGGGTCCAGTTCATCGGTTCAGCTCCAGTGGCATCTGTGTACAGAACACCAAACAGTTCTGTGCGCTTTTCAGGAAAATGTAAGTGCTGCAGACATAATGTCAACACATATGGAGCTAAACATTCAGTCCCCAGGTGCATCAAGCACCTCAGGACCATTTGCTGGCTTAATAGGAACTAAACTTCTTGTGGTGTTTAAGTTAGGTTTGGGACAACATACGATGTGACATAAACATAGGATGTGCCGTATAAGAAGTTTCATACACACAGTGATATGAAGTTCACTGACCACCGGCTGTGATTGTTTTCTACTAATGTTTGAGACATGGTGGCCTAAACCCCTGGCTTCTTTAACAGCAGCAGCAGCAACGGTGGTGTTCACAACAAACTAAGTGTAGTTAAACTTTGCATGATACATTTCACAAAACGCAAAGCTGAACCACGGTGGTCCGGTATGTGCCGCTAAAGTGTTGACTAATAGGTTTTACAGATGTTCTGGCGTCGCTTTTCAGGACTGCATAGTTCTAATGTGTTTTTGAGTTGATTGGACGTGTTTAAAATTGTGGAAACACACACTGAAGGTGAGTGACTTGCTGTATCTGGTCACAAGTGTGCATAGTGTAAAAAAAAAAAGAAAAGCAATATGAACAGTTATGAGCATTAACAATACATATTTGACATCTTTTTGTGTAGTGCAGTTTAATGGAGCATCTTTAGAAAGTGTCAAAATGTGCCGTAGTAACGTGCCAACAGACACAAAGTAGAGCAGTAGCTACTATGTGAAGTTAGATGACTGTCAAATGCCTTGAGATGTCGGTGTTGACAAATGGTGCTACATGAATACAGCTGAAATGAATTGGATTGAATGCTTAAGACATTTATTGCACCACTGACACATGATGGCAAATTATTTTCAGTGCTATTGTACTGTAATGCGGGTACAAATCATGTCCAACACAGCCTTAAATCTGTCCTAAAGTGAAACATATTTTTTTATTTGAGACCTTCTTAGTCTAATTCAGTGCATGTATTGTTACATTGGAGGTAATCTGACATTTATCAATAAAAATAAAAATAAAAAACTACAGCAAGGAGAGCACACTTTATGTTGCTGTTTTCTGAATACTGCTTTGACTACCAGCAGTGGAGGAAACATTTGAATCTTACTTAAGTAAAAGAAATGGAGCCGCAATTTTAAAAAATTCACAGTTACAAGTCAAATTTCTTGCCCTAAAACCTCAGTGAAGGAAAATATGTCTTAAGTATTATCAGCAAAAAGTGCTTAAAGTAACTATTCATTACATACCAAAGTGTCAAAAGCTGTTTTTATATACTTTACTATTGAATTATTTTTACTGATGCACTAACATGCAAGCAGCATGACTGAGGTACCCCTGATTTAATTCACTTTACATACTCAGGTGGCTTAATTTACCGCATAACAATCATTATTGTTATTTGTTATAATTGAATCCGTTTTTTAAAATCCTAAAATGCTGTTAAGTTACTGCAGCTGTGAGGGAAAAAAGACATAAAGAATAATATCTGGAACTGAAATATAGTGGAGCCAAAGCAGAACACTGAATGAAATCCAAACTAAAGTGAAATGTATGTGTTTGTATGCTGTGTAAATGTTTTAATTTGTCATTTTACAGCAATAATTAGAATTAAAAAGAAAAGTCTTACTGCACTGAGCTGCTGCACAAACAGGACCAGGGCAAGGGTCCACCTGTGAACACAACAGCGGTAACAGATTAACTTTGGCAGCTACTAATTGGCTTTAAAAAGCCGCATAGAGACCCCGATTGAGTGCAGCGTGATCTAAAATGCTACCACTACTCATAACCTTTACGATTTATGAAAATGAAATCAGGCAAGGACAGTTTGTCGTGCACGTTAGCTCGTGGCATGTCGTTCCTCTTGCATGCGGGAGAGCAAATCTCCACCAGCCAATTATAAGCATTAGAGAAGGAGAGCAGCAAGAATGATGTCTGACCAGTTTATTAGCACGCTGCACTTGACACATAAGTGTAAATGTGTACCTGTGTGTGTCTGCCTCAGTGTGATGGATGGCAGTTTTTTTGGTATACAAGCGCTTAGATGTGTTGAAAAGCTGCATAAACAAGCAAGAAGTGTGTTTGTCTTCACGTAAACAGACTCACTGGCCAAAGCAGGAAATGTGAATTCCATTGATGTTTGACACACATACCTCATAAATATTTAGCTAATTTTCAATGCAAAAGAGCTCATTGGTATTCAGATGTATTGCAGATCAGGGAAACATGTATTTTAAGTAATAAGCGCTATAGGTTTGCACTTACAGTCGTCCTCAAATGTATTCTTCCATTAAAGAAAAGGCAAAATTCACAACAGTCACTCAAATAGCTATAAACTGAAAAAAGTAATAATAAATAAAAATTTGCTAAATTCTAATTTAGTGAAATAAGACATTGCTTTTGAATTATGGTGGAAAAGAATAAATTTTTTTTTAAAAACTGTCCCCGACAAATTAGAGCACTTTGCTGATGAGCAGTGGGTCAAAATCCCTGTCAGCAGGTGCAGAAGTCTGATTGAGAGTTACAGAAAACACTTGATTCCAGTGATTGGCTCAAAATATTAGTTCAAGGGTCCCATCATTCTTGTTTTTGTTTTTTTTTTTTGTATATTTCTGTTGAACCCCAATTCAAAAGCAATGTCATGATTTTCATTAAATTTTTACGTATTATTACTTTTGTCAATTTCAACTTATTTCAGCTGTTTTTTTTCCTTCTTTAATGGGAGGATATAAATACATCTGAGGACGACTGCATATTATCAAAGCCCAGCCACAAGAAGTTATCATTTGTTGTCATCAGTAGTTGTCATTACAGATATACCAGAATGATAAAAAAAAAAAGAAAAAAAAAATCCATCTCATGTTGCTCATATTGATAACAACTTCTTATCAATGCTGTTGCAGTGGGACTCACCAGAGAGGGCACAAAGTCACAACAGTAGCCGAGGACTTCATGTCTCATTCATCAGTCTGCCTCCCAGGTAAGCGTTGGCCTCAGTGCTGCCACGTGTGGTGGATGGAAGGAAGCATGAAACAGCAAAAACACCTGTTAGCGAGTGGCCAGCTGATACTATGCGGCATTGAAAAACGGTATCCTTAGAGATCAGAAGCAGTACATGCAGCCATGGCGATTAAAATGCTGATGTCTTCCTATCCATTCATTTGCCAAAGGTTATCAATAAGTCCAACGTGCATGCAAATATCCACCACTCACCCAGATTCAGCAGCTCGAGTGAATTTTCGTGAAGACTTTAGTCCATCCCGAGCAGCATCATCATCTTCACATTCAAACTAATCTCCTGCCTCCATGTCAGTAAACACCAAACTTGCCACTGTTTGCAAAGAGCCGGAATGAGATGAGGAGAAGCGCTGTGACTCGGGTCGACCGCATCAGACCGCCTCCCTCCTCAAGGTCAAGTTCTCTGGGCTGTCCCGTCTATCAGCAGGACTCCAAAAACCCAAATGGAAAAGCTCGGATTTAACTAGTGCAATGACCTGGCATCGCCCTCCGAAGTACAGCAGCGGATGAGTGTGATGAGAAAGCTGGTTGCTGAAGAAAGCGCTCAAAAAAAAAAAAACAGGACTTTCATCACCCCTTGCGGTTTGACTCCTGAGCTCTTGATGTAAATGCAGCAAGAGAAGCCATGGGAAGGCCGGCGTTTGTATTTCCTCTGATCCTGTTTGCTGTGATGCTGATGGCGACCGAGGGAAAAGACGTAAGATGTTTCTGTTTCTTTATGGATGTATAGAAAGTACAGATTTATTCTAAGCAAACGCTGACGAGGCAGATGCTGTATTGGCTGTCTTCTGCTTTTTTATTTCACACACACGTGGGACAATATAACTTAGACTGCAGAACCTGTTGTGCTATAATATAATGTTTGATTGGTGAGCCCTGTGCAATAGGAAACAAACTGATTCTGTATCTAATAACGCTCCTACGCTTGTTTGTGACAGCAGCTTCGAGTTGGACGTTGTCGATGAATATTTCTTTTGCTCCATCCGGCGTATGAACAGCATTTGTTTAGATAATTCTTCATGCTGTTTAGCGCAACTTTGACTTTCTCTAGTCGTAGCTCTCCAAGAAGTAAAGCCACTAAATGTCACTTTGCTCCGCAGCGTGTGTAGTTCCTTTTGTGTACATTGTCGTTCATTCTTCACCGCTTTAACTTTTAATACACAACGCTGCGCTCTGTTTGGAACCGTCTCCTCTGTGCTTATCCAAAACATCTTGCATCCTGAAGTGATGTGGTGTCTGTTTGCACATTTAGCTCACTGTGTACAATATTCTCCAGTGAGCTATGTTGGTGGGCCTTCATGTGGTAGGTCAGGAATGGAGAGAAGGGAAGTACGGAGGTGTGAGAAAATTTCGCAGTCACAAAAAGGCCTCCGGCACTAGACGGAAAGGTTAGCGGAGACATTTCTGCATTAGTTAACATTTTCCTACCACTAAAAACTCTAGTCCGCATCACTAGATTGATAAGGGAACTAAAAAAAACTCAGCTTTTAGGACTGAAGGTCGTGAATGATGAGGGAACCTACATTCAACTCAGCTGCTGTTACAGCCGTGTTTTAGCACCAACATGCTTCTCCTGCATCTACAGGACAATGATTACGATCATGACAATTTATTTCATGCTTGATTATCATCTCATGTGCACAGGGAAATTGAATTCATCACAGTTAAAAGGCCACTGTATTAAATGAGCCAATAAGAACCAGTGTTCCAGCTTCAGCCGTGCACTCCGTGATGCAAAGGTGAATTGGAAATGCCATGCATCTCAAATAACTTCATTATATTAGCAGCTAATAGCCCATAGCTGATCTATTATGTTGCCTACAGACGACCCACTGTGCAGCTTACTGTTTTTTATTACTGTTGCTTCACTTTTTTTTTTTTAGTCTGTTAGCTTCAATGAACCTTTTCCTCTGCTGATAAGCAGCAACGTTTACAGCTTTCAAATTAAATGCCACTGTGCTGAATAGAGACACAAGAGGTCCTTAACACCGCAGAGTTATAGATGTTATTTAGGCAAATTGCTTCCATAAATTTTCCACAAATCCTCCACAAGTAAGCTTTGTCTCCTGAGCGAATAACAAAGTATTGATCGGCATAATGTTTGTGAAAGTGGCAACTGATCGTGCAACATTTTTGATCGCTCAAATTGCAAGCATTGCCTTCAGTGAATGTAGCCGGCAAGGTCAAAATCACCAAGAAAGAACACAGGAAAGCTTTGACGCCAGCAAGGTTATCGAGATTCAAGTGAAATAACACATGCAGTTCAGCTTGATTTGTTTCCTGTAATATGCAGTATGTATGTGCAATGTGGTTAATGGCTGTTAAAATCTAACATAGTGATTGATACCACAGAGTAAAATGTTTGACAACTGGACAATTTCTTTTTTTTTCTTTCTTTTTTTAGTGTGTATGCAATGGAAAATCAAGATGTCACTGTGCAGGAGTAAAAGGCAACAGGGTAAGTGGATGGCTTACATTCTGTTTAAACAGTCAAATCCATCGGGTTTGGGGGATTTTTAATGAATGAATTCTTCCTATTGCAGTTTTAAAGCAACTTTTTCTCACATCATTTTCACAATAAAGTAGTTACTTTAATTTTTCAAGATCTTATTTTTCACTATGACTTTGTTTCGCTGTGGATTCTGCCCAGAAGGAGTAAAAGACATGAAATCTTTGAAACTTTATGACTCAGCAATAGTCTGCATAAAGACTTGTGATGGTATATATTCAGGTATTTGACTAATATTTCATGCACAGTGCAATTATGAAGATCTACTCATTTAAAATGCATGGCAATGAGAAAATTATATTAAATTAATTTTTACAGTTTGTGTATCCAGTTATACTTACACACATGCAAATATAATTTAATTTATTGTCTTAAAGCTGGGAAAATGATATGAATGTTTGCCAACGTGGCTGAAGATTTGATTATAGTAGTGATACTTTAAAATGTATGGATCAGTATTTACAGATAAAATATGGTAAAAGTTCTATTTTTTGTGGTTTGTCTGCTCTCAAACACATCAATCCCCACTTGCAGGGGGACAAAGGTTTTCCAGGAGATGCGGGTCCTCCAGGGGTAGAAGGCCGTCCAGGATCAGCCGGTCCTGCTGGGCCGATGGGACCAAAGGTTCAATTTAATCCGAGCTCTTGTGCCCTCTTCCTCATTCTGTATCTTCAATCTAAATCCAATTCCCATGGTGTCAAATTGTGACTGTGATAAACTGCGCTTTCTTGTGTACCTAGACACTTTTATTTGTGCTTATACACGTCTATATACATCTCAGTAGATCACCGAGATTAATTATAGGATGCACTCTTTGACAGGGCAGCACTGGGCCGGATGGACCCGCGGGACCAAAAGGAGATCCGGTAACATGACTGTGCTATCCGAGCTAGTGTCTGTGGGGTTATCGTTGAATTTTCAGTCTTTAACACTTGAATTTGTGCTGTTTTTTTTGCTTCTATCATGGCAGGGACTTGAAGGCAAAGAGGGATTTGCTGGGTCTCACGGCTTACCGGTGAGTTGTTTTACTCTCTTACAGTGTACACATGTTCATCCTGAGATTTATCTATTGTGTGTTCAGGAAGATGTGTTGGTTTCTTTTTGACCTTCTTCTTATATTCTCTTACAGGGTCTCCCAGGCTTACAGGGGCCTCCAGGTCATCCAGGGGCCCCAGGCTGCAATGGAACAGACGTAAGAAGATATTACACATCAACAGTGTTATCTGTAATCATTGGCGCACATATTTTTGAAAGAGTTGGCATTAATGTTTTGAACACATTACCTGCTTATAGGGAGATGTTGGACTTCCTGGTATTCCTGGGGCCTATGGTCTTGATGGGAATCCAGTAAGTACTTGGTGCACAAATACAGTATTGTGGCTGCACCTTTCATAAATGTCAGTCTTTTGTTTTGTGGTGCCATCTTCTTCTTTTATTTTACAGGGTTCACCAGGGCTGCCTGGACCTAAGGTAAAAAAGAAAAAAAAATACAAAAGATAGACAAGAAATTAGTTCATTCCTAGTTAATTATCAGGATGGAGGCTCTTGAGAATAGTTTGTTTGAAGACAAGTTTTACTGTCATACACGTGGCCTTTTCAAAGCATATGCATCATGTGCTGTACTTATTTTATTTTATTTATTGTGGGTGTAACTGCAGGATTGCTCAGCAGTGTCTGTCTTATAAGAAGCCAGACAGCAATATTCTTACTCACCATGAAAAAAATAGCATGATGCTGCACAAACAGTCGCCCCCTTCCCCAAACTCCCCGAGCTCATTTTGTTCCTCGTCCATGTGAGACCGATAACTTGTTTAAAGATTTTTCTTTGTTTGTCTTTTCATTGATCACGTCCGTCCTTCCATTTTTATCTGCAACGAGAAATGTGTTAATTCTCAAAGCTAATTATCAGAACGAGGACTCTCGAGGGCAGTTAATGTTTATCTGACGGAGCAAGAACGCTTGCGTTAAGGTTTACGACAGTGTGCGTGAACCGGCCTTCTGAAGGCATCGGCGAGTAAGATTTATCGTGATTGTAATCAAGATGACAATCGCAGGCTTCGTCCTGATGCGTGCGTCAATAGGCTCTGTAGATGCAGTCACCTCTGTGTGTCTGCGGACAGACAATTTGCATTAACCGGCCGGCTCGTGTGACAGTAGCTCAAACATGTCTTAGTTAAGGACGTGAAAAGGTTGCACTTTTCCAACTTCTTGATAGGAAGTCCTGTTCTCCCCACTTATGAGCTTAAGAGTCAACTTGTGACCACATGAAGCTCTAAACATGTCTTTTCATGGATGATTTAAATAAACTTTGTCCCTTTCGCTTGTTAAATCCTTTTTGAAGCTGACATCTATGTGGAAAAAAGAAAAAAAAGTCTAGAAACTACAAGTAGCTGTTGTAATTCTGCGCACATGCATGTGACACATAAAGTGATGGAGTCTACAGAGTGCAGCTTTGAACTAGATTCACAGTCCACAACCATGAAGTTTTATTCCATCTTTCTGGCTTCTGACAGGGTGAATCTTTGGTATCAGCTTATTCACGACCCGGACCTCCTGGGCCGCCTGGAATAGATGGAATTCCGGTAACTTTTTTACGGTGTTTTCCATTGTAGTTAAAGATGCCTTCCATGAAGTAGAGATACAACAAGTAGTACTAGTTTATAACGTATTTCTACAGTTACAGTTTCTACAGTGCTTACAATGATTTTCTTTGAATTTTAGGGAGACGGAGGTTTCCCTGGAGATCAAGGACCACAAGGGGACCCTGGAATACGTGGATCTGACGTGAGTGAAGCTTTGCACAGAGTACATATAACACGAAGTAAGGGTGTGATACTTGGTATAAGTGTCTGTATTCTTTATGCATAGGGGTATCCTGGTCAACCAGGGCCTCGAGGATCTAAGGTAATGCCTCTGAATGTTCTCTCTGGTTATGCGTGTCCATGCTAAAAAGCTTATGTTGTGATAATGTGTATTACTGAGTAAAACCACATCTGCAGGGCTTCTGCTTTGGTCTGACTCTCTGGCTATCAGTCATCACAGCACATGGGAAAGTTTGATTACCACAACTGTTTAGCCAATCAGTAATCAATAAAACCTGTATATCTACAAGCACTACCATCTTCCAGTTACTCATGAAACTGATCACAGACAATGAATGGAAGGGACTGCATTACACTGTTGGTAGTTGAAAAATTAGGAATTGGAAAAGGAGTTTTTGAAATCTGATTATTTCTACAACTAAGTTACAAATCCATCCATCCTGCAGGGTCAAGAAGGCACAAGTGGTGTCCCAGGACCTCGAGGACTAAAGGTAGTCTACATTTTTTTGAAAGGCACAGTTATGCATTTCATCAAAAAGGAGAAGAATAAGTGACATTGTGCTGTATTTGTTTCTGACCACTTCTGTTATAGCGTCTGTATTATGTCTTATTTTTGATTGAACATCTTCGTTTGTTTGATGTAGGGCAGAAAGGGCCTAGTGGGCCCACCGGGGCCGCCAGGTCGGATTAAGGAGTATCTGACAGAGAGTCTAGCCGTGTTAAAGGTACAGTAATGATAGCAATTACATATTCCACATCGTGACGTTTCCTGCATGAAAACGGTAAAGACAACGTTACAGTTGAAAGCTCATTTGAGACAATCCAGGTGCATTGGATGCAACACATTCCTCACCGTTGCTTGTAGTTTCACACATCAAAATTAAACATAAACCCAGCGGAATCACACCTCAGTAGCTGGACACTGGCCAAGTTTTGCAGCGGCTGATTGAACAGCAGGCTTTTCACACAGCCTCCGTGTGGTCGAGGTTAAAAACACTGGCAAGGCTACAAAGCGAAAGCAGAAGAAGATAAAGACGGAACACATTTGCTGAGAGAGAGAGACGCTGTTGACAAATGGATCTAAAACAAAATCAACATCAAAATGCTCATTTTATTAGAAACTCACTACATTATAGCTTGATGGTGGTAAAACTATGGAGTAAAGGTCACGGGGTCACCAAATCTGGAACACATAAAGCCAGTGTGACAAATAGTTGAACTATAACAACATGTTTGAGACCAAAGTGTTGGCAAGGCAGCAAGTAAGTAAAATCTGTTATGTGTAGCACCTTCCTCGATGAAATATGTTTTACTATTAAAGATGCATGAAAGAAAGAGCAAAGAAAGACACTGTATAAGCATAATAAATGGAGATACAGTGTTTTAAAAGAATATTACTCAGACTCAAGTCTAATACGCAGGGCCTTGAGCGGCTCCTTGATGGTATCTAGAGTTTCTTTACCCCAGCAGACTGACAGGCAAGAAATGTTACTGCAAATACTACACCATGACCTGAGGTTTATTTCTTATTCAGGGTGAAAAGGGACATCAAGGAGATTACGGCGAAAAAGGCTGCAGGGGTGAAACAGTGAGTTCCTCTTTAAAATTCACACCACAGACACTCTCTGATCTGGCCATTTGAACATTTAGACATTTTAAAATGAATGCACTTTTCTGATTCTTGTCCTTATTTCAATCTGTCACCAGGGACACCCTGGCTATGGCATTTTTTCCAAAGGAGCAAAGGGAGACAAAGGACTTCAGGGTCCAGAAGTAAGAAACAACATTTGATTTCTTCCAGTCATGCCGGCCTTTGAACCACCCCCATCTGATTGTGCATGCAGCACATATTACCTGCGGTGTTTCTTGACTGTTGCACCATATCGTTCTCTCTCTGAAGCATCTCACTTTGCATCGAGGGCCTACAAGTTATACTTTAGCTCAAGAAAGAGGACGATCAGCAGAGGGCAGCGATGCAACATTACGCTCAATGTGCCATTAAAGAGAAGAAGGAAGGGAAACAAAAGAAGACCTTTAAAATTAATCTATATCCGTCATGCCTCTGCCAGAGCAGCAACAGCGAGACAGCATCCATCCAAATTAAACTGCACAGTATAATCATAAAACCACCTTGATGCTCTTCTTCTGACCCACAGCAGTAAAAACAGGAGGACCAACAGCAGCTGCTTTGAGACTAGAAAAAAAATTAAGCTTTGGTGCTATTTAAGAATTTTAACCTGATTCCACAGTCAGGTGGATGCAGCATTGCAATGCTTGAGAGTGCTCTTAAAAAAAAAAAAAAAAAAGCCAGCTTGGTTGCGATCAGTCTGACCTCCTTCTCTATCACTATATCTGCTGTTTCTCAGAAATCGGTGCATCAAACACACCCGACATGACTGAGAATTTGAAATCTTAGTCTGACCTGATGTTATTGCGTTTAATCCCCGAAGATGCAAAGCAGTATTCCACAATGTCCCACGGTGCAGAACAGACTTTGGAGGGGACTCTATCCTTTTAGATGGAGCCAGAATTTTCTTTGAAGGCCAATTTTACTGCTTTTAATTTACATTAAGGCAACAAGGACATCTCAACTGCAGTCTGACTGAAACCATGGCCCTGCTCATCGTGTCTTTTTGCTATTTGCATGCAAAACCAAAAATAACTTGTTAAAGAAAAAAAATGGTTAAACTACAGTTACTCTTAAATTGTAACTTAACTTTCCTTACAGGGAAAGCCGGGGAAGGATGGAGATCCTGGACAACACGGAACTAGGGTATGCTACTACTATGAGTGTGTATGCAGTACGGAAAGTCATTGTGTTGTGTGTGCATGGTGTCTGTGTGTGTGTGTGTGTGTTTGCGTATTTACTGCGTGGCTTTTGAACACATCATAGTTCTGTTTAGGGAAGACCTGGACCCAGAGGTGACTCAGGATATCCAGGGGCACCAGGAGCACTGGTCAGTCATCCTATCTATCTATCTATCTATCTATC